TGCCTCGGGGAATGCGCAGAGCGCCTGCCCCTGAAGCCTCCACGTGCTTTCACGGGGAGGAGGAAGAGGGAGAACCGGGCTGGAAGCGGGAGCCCGAGGCGAGGGGGGCAGCTGAGCCCCCCCACCCGCCAAACTCCCTTAGCCGCCCTCTTTGCAAGGGGGTGGGGTGGGGAAACAGCGCGCACTCTTCGCATGCTCGGAGGCGCTCTTTGCTCTCCCTTCGAGTCAAGTCAAGCCGGCGAGGAGAGGGAGGGAAGCGGGGGAAAGCCACCGGCAGAGCTCCCTGCCCCGCGGGGCTTACAGTCGGGAAGCTGGCCCGGAGGGAAGAGAACAGAGGTTCTCTCGCTGTCTCTCTCTTTTATTATTATTATAAATTGATTAAACAGACATCCGACCTAAACAACATAAACCTAACAGCACAATATAATACAATTGCACAATACGGTACCCCAGGGTCGCCCTCACCCCCAGGGCTGGCATTAAAGCTAAAGACCGTAAAGGGTGTTCTCTCTCTCTCTCTCTCCAGGGACATCGCCCCCCTCCTGAAGGACCCGCTGGCCTTCTCCGCTGCCATCGACCTGCTGGAAGCCCACGTCAAGGCCTCGCACCCCAAGTTCGATTACATCGCAGGTGAGTCCGGGAAGCCTCCCTCTGGAAAAGGGGGCCTCCAAGGTGCCCAGCTGCTCTCTCTCTCTCTCTCTTGGTCACTCTGCGCATGCTCAGAGGCGCTCTTTGTGAATTTGGCCCCTCCAGAGCCTCCGCAATCGAAGGCTTACCACGTTTTAGCCTGGTCATCCTGTGTTCGCTCAATTTGGGAACCAGCACACACGCACGCACGCACGCACACACACACACACACACACACACACAGAGTCAGCACTGAGCCCCCCGCTGCCCAGTCCCGTCGCTACCACAGTAGAGCCCAAAAGGCTGGGAACCTTCTCTCCTCTCCTCGTTCTCTCCCTCCTAGGCCTTGACTCCCGTGGCTTCCTTTTCGGACCCGTTCTGGCCCAGCGGTTGGGGGTCGGCTTTGTGCTGATCCGGAAGAAGGGGAAGCTGCCAGGCCTTACAGAGTCCGTCTCCTACACGCTGGAATATGGCCAGGTGATGCTTTTCACCCGCGGGCTGCATGTGGGGGGGGGGCTGGGTTCAGTTTAAGACTTGGGGAGTTCAGTTCAGTTCCAGGTTGGGTGGAGGAGCTGGATTGGACCCAAGGGTGATCTGTGTTGGAATCATCAGGGCCGGGGCTGTTTGCAGACGCCTGGGATTCGTGCTGGGCAGGTGTCAGAAGCTCTCTCTCTCTCTCTCTGTGTTTCTCTCCATTCCGCAGGCAGAGCTCGAAGTCCAGAGCGACGCCGTCCGCCCAGGGCAGAAGGTGATCCTGATTGACGACCTGCTTGCCACCGGAGGTGAGAGTTAGTGACTCTGGGAGGACAGGGCAGGGCAGGGCGGAGGCGCCTTTGTCCAGGGTTGCCTGTTTCTTCAAACCCCAAACCATCACAGCGCTCGTGAGAAGCAAAATGGGGCCTTCCAGGTGTGGGTGGACTGCCCGTCCCATCAGGCAGCACAGTCAAGGGGGACAGCTGCTGGTCTTTGTAGTCCAGCAACCTCTGGCGGCTACCCTTCTTTCTGCCTTCCCATGCTAGAATTCGGTTTAAATGTCTGCCAGCCGTTCCCTTCGGTTCCTTCCCGCTGAAGTTGCTGCTGAAATACAGATCTGCGGCCTCTGCCGTCCTTTCTCCTTCCCAACCCAGCCCGTTTTTGCCCCCTTTTTGATCCCCCCCCCCCCCCCCCCGGTAGCTCTCAGATTTCAGTCCTCTGAATGTTTTGGACTTTCAGCTTCCAGCAGCCCCAGTCAGGATGGCCATTGGTCAGGGGTGGAAGAAGCCCAGGAAAAGTCTAAAAGTTGAGAACCACCGACTAAGCTTGCCCCTACGGCCTTTGCTCCCTTGGAGTTAGTCCGCTACAGATGTTGGCGGTCTCCTTGGGGCCCATGTTCCCTTTTTATCTTTGTCAGAGAGACATCTTTGGTTTTTTAAAAAAAGACAATGTGCCATTTGCATCACAGAGATTAGCAGGAGGCCATTTGGCATTCATTCATTTTGTGGTTTCACCACCGAGGGAAGTTAGAGATCTTTACAATTCATTTCAAGACACTTTGCAGCTGGGGCAGGAAGCTTGCAGATGCAGGATGTGTGTATGTGGGGGGGGGGAAGGGGGCTGGGTGGCATCTTGCAGCCCCTGAGAAGGAGGAACCGCACAGCCAGCTCCACCCTTGCTCGGAGCGAATGGCATAATAAAGGGGAAGGGATGAGTCAGACCTTCTAGGCTGCTTGTAAGGGAGCAACCAGAGG